TAAGGCCAGGAGCCCCTAGCAGCGTCCTTGCTCCTAGTAGCGATGCCGTCAGTGCAAATGTCAAAGACATTTCATCGCGCAGTGACAATCTCGCGTCATTCGCAGAATGCCTTTCACCCGGCAGCCCATAGCCAATGATAGCCACAGCACAGCTTTTTTCTTGAAGTTGGGCAGCACAACAAAAGCCGCCGAGTGTTCCTGGACCAAAACACTAATAAATCTGAGGAACTAGCACTTAGGCATGTGGGTGGAAGGGAACTCTGCCTTCACGCTCTTTTAGCGTCTCCGAGTCTGTAGTTGGCCTCTTGGGCATTTGTCATGTGCAAGTGCTGGCCCCAACATCCAGGGAGCCAATTGTAAAGTAGGATTCTAGGTTCTAGACAGGACAAACTTGTCCCATCCTTAAATTCCAACCCTTTTGCCTGTCCTCGCTTGTTACCCTGGGCCAAAAACAGGCGCGAAAACTGGACCGTTTCAGCGTTGCTCTCCTGTGTCTTGGTTGTCAAATTCACATGTTTGTTCAAGCTGCCGGAGCTTAGGCACTTTTCCATGCAGTCCAGCTGGCACAGGCTGCCTATGAGGCGGGCCATGCAGGGCTGAAGCAGATCCACGGCAGCAGCAGCCGCTCTCGAGAGTGCAATCGCTTGTCATGTACTCATGTACTCCAAATTAAGGGCATCAAGGAAAGCTTTTGGTGCAAGGTGTGTCACCTGCAAGCATTTTCAAACAGGGAACGTATTTTCATCTCTTCTCCAAGCATGTAGCTCTGAACCAAGGACTGTACGAGACAGGCGCTGCTGTGTTATGTTTTGTGGGTGCTAGACCTGGTGATGACAATTCAGTGATTCAGATGGCACTTGGTACAGCTTGAGACTTCCGTCCAGTCACCTCTTTGGCTTCCTGGAGGGCTGGCAGGGCGGCGGGGCAAACCGTGAGGCGGAGCCTTTGGCAACTTGCTCAACTTTTCTATGTTCATACATGTTGGTTTTGGCAACTTGCATTTGCCTTGTTGTGTGTTTTCAGTCGTTGCCACAGGTGGCCTCCCCGATTGAGGGTCTTCCGGACGTCGAAGAGTCGCATTGCATTTCAGCTCAGCACCTCAGCGCAATATAGCGGAGTCATTCGGCCGTGAGGAGGTGGACTAACAAGAAACAAGTGCATCGCTACTAGTAACAAGTGCAGTGAAGTAGGTAAGTTGCTAAGCGTTAAGAGGCTTCCTAGGAGAAGGCCTCTACTAGAGGCCATCGCTATTCGGGACGCGCTGCACATGCTGTGAATCAACTGCGAGCTGTGGCAAACTGCAAAGAACTCAAGGAAGACCCTATGAAGGTTGCAGGATGTACTGTCCTTATTTGTGTTACTTTTGTGGTTATTAAATGGCGCCCGGGGGTAGGCCGCTAGAAGAGTTAGCTAGAGTAGCTAGCAGCTATTAGATACTGGACGCTCCTAGGTAAGACGCAGGACAGCTCACGCCTCTTCAGGAAGCTCTCCCTTGAAGAAGCAGTGGCACTATTCATATTTGTCCTAGATTTGTAAAAAAAAGTCTTGCTCTGGGGCTCGGCTCTTACCCCTGCATCAAATGCTGCTGGGTAGCTTGCTTGTAGCTTTAAGAGTACAGTGTCAGATATCAAAAGGATAAGAGATCATCGAAGACCAGAACTGTGGAGCAAACAACAGGTTTTGGCCGCTGGTGATTTGAGCTTTAACGTGAGTGAAATGGACCTCGGTTGACATCCTGTTTGTGAATGAACGGACACATGAATTGGTTTTGACTTAAAGAAGTAAGGGGAGGAAAAGTGAGATCAACAGATGGGTTTTAGCATTTTTGAACCATAAGAGATGGTGGTAATTAGACGGTACGCAAAAAGAAGTAGAAGTTGAATGGGGCAATGAAGATGGGAGACAGGGAAGGGATTGACAAGTGCAGGGAAAACGGACATTTTAAGGGCCGTGGCAGTGGCGCATTGATTAGGCCGATATAAAACCCGAAAGCACGAGCCAAATCAAGTCAAGGTATACAGACCCAGAACTACTTCCACACACCTCAGAGCTTCTGCCTGGAATTTCTGAGCAGCCAGTGGTTCAGAGCTCAGTCGGATGAGCAGTTAGTCATCTTTTACCGGCTGTCCCGACACCCAGGAACAAACTGAGCGAGTATATATAATATATCACGAAAGCCAGCCGATAGGCTAGGCTGGAGTTGGGATGGGCGAGCGAAGTGAGTATTAGGGGGTGTTGGGGGGGGTGGTAGCACAGAGGCCAATTTGGGAGGGCGAACCCAGAGCCTGGTGGGGGAGAGCGGAAAAAACTAGGGAGTGAACATGTATGGTTTTTGGGGTGTTGTGATGCAAGTGATGCTATTTGACGGCAAATAGTGCATCATTAGCATCATGAGGGGCTCAGGAAGCAATGCAAGCCGTCTTCTACCAGGGGTGGGAGTTCATGTCGATGATAGGAAAGAGTGGACAACCGGACGCGAAAAGTGTTCGACCAGGGGTGAAAGGGAGGTGTGTCAGGAGGGAACAGAATGCTGTGGGAAAGGTGGAAGACAAGCGGAGGAGGACGTGGTAGGAAAAGAGGGTTTGCAAGAATTCTTGGAGTTGCTTGGGGGTGCCCTTTTTTATGGTGAAGACGCCTGTCGACCATACACAACGGGGCACCCCATGTGGGGTGTGAGTTCATGTAATGATGCGGTAGCGGGCAAGCTTTGAATTGCTTGGGGGTGCCCTTTTTGACGATGAAGAGGCCTAGTAGCCAGACTCGAATGGGCACCTGATATGGAGTGGGAGTTCATGTGCAAGATAGGCATAGCGGGGGAGGACGTGATAGGAAAAGAGGTGGGGAGCTCACCAGGGATCTCGCATTCACCCCCCATGACCATATTGATATCTGTTGGGGTGGCTGGTTTTCGTCCCCTCCCTGCTCAGGTAGTATATATTAGTATGGTCCTTCAGTTTGGGGCATCGATTTTCACAGCTGTGAGAGTTGCGGCACAGTTGGAGGTTGTTAATGCTGCTGATATGGATGATGGATCTCGCTTCAAGGGCTTCGGGGGCGACGCTGCGTCTTGGTTCCAAAGCCTCGAAGGTGTCATACGAAGTCATACGTCATAAGGAAAACATAGGAAAACATAGTTTTTTGCTATATACTAGTAGCGATGGCCTCCAACCTAATAGCGATGCCTCCAACCTAATAGCGATGGCCTCCATCCAACCTGTGAAAAACACAAAAACTGTCCCAGTCATGGGTTTGTCTCTTTATGGCCTGGCCTTGACATAAATTGATTTTCTCTCATGGCCTCACGGTTTGCAAGGCCCGGAAGCTCATCATGCAAGCGCTTGGAAAAGATGGTCGCAGGAAGAGATACTCATACCAAGAGACCTTGGAGGGGCAGTAGTTTGCCCATATGCCAAAACCCTTTTGGTGCAAGAGTTCACAGGTGTGATTGGATGTTGTCAAGAGAGTCCTACCTGTCACCCAAAGTCTTTCAATGCTTTGTCTTGGGCAATTTCCGCCTGTTCAAAAGCAAGCCAATGCACCTACCTGGGCTTAGCTTGATGTGGTCACAGAACGAACGCAGCTTCGTTCTTGCAGCCAGTTGAACCAAGTGCGAAAAATGTCCAGAGACTGAGAGTTGTAATTTCAGTTGGCATGCTGATCAAAACTGATCTCAGATTGATTGTGTCTTGTCCTAGATACTCGTCACTTGCGTGGCAGGCTTGGCAATCCATGGAATCAATCCGTCGGTCATTGATTTATGGTTCAGCATTGGTTCAGTCAGCAGGCGGGTGTGCCACTTGCATCGCAGTGCCGCCAAAGAAGACGGAAGAAGAAACTTAAGAATACCTAAAAATCAAGAAACCAAATCATGAGTGCGAGCGCGAGCTATCCTGCGTCCATATGTAGTAGCGTCCTGTACCTAGTAGCTTGCTCAAGCTACTAGCGACTCCCTAGCTTCTACGAGCTACCTCTAGCGGCCTAACCCCCCTAAAACAAAAACGCCCTTAAACTCACTGCAATTACGTGGGCACCTTGGTGAGGTTCTTGATGCTTTTTGCCATGACGACTATGGTGGGCCGGATTTCTTCGCGGTACGCAATTTGCACAAAAAAGTGTCAAGCGTCACCGTAGGTTCTCCTACCTGGCCTTTGGCTCACACTCTTTGCGATACGCATGATCAACGACTCCGTCAACGAGAAAAGGCACTGCATTTGTCCTTCCTGTGAGACATCACCTGCGATGTACTTTGACAATCGCCCGTGCGCCAGTGATTTTGTGCGCTGGGCACGATACCTTGAACCAATCGTACGGCCATGGGTTGAAGCCTCAGTAGTCTTGCAGACCGCCTCCTGATCAAGTGCCATGTTTCAGGGTGATGTGATTGGCTGAACGTAGTGCCAAATGCGATCGTGCAATGCAGCTCAAGGTATTGTGCCATATTTGGTCCGCCTCCCTTTGTCTCGTTACATCCCCAGACGAGAAGAGTCTCCAAGTGTTGACGAGAATCTCTCCGGTGCAAGGTGTACTACATGGTAACTGCCAGGAATAAGGACGGCTTCCTTTGTTGGCATACTTGAGCATCAGTGGTTTTGGCTGGACTCGCTGTGTGTGATGGAACCGGGTAAGGCTTAATTAATTTGAACACTGAGCCATTGGCAAGGCAACCACAGAAGTTTGTGCAACATTTCCAGAAACACCGACCGGTATTGCGACTTGGAGGCACAATGTCAAGTCTGGATTTTAGCTGCCAGACTGGACTTGTGAGGCAGCAGTGTTCTTGCCAAGCCTAGGTTGCCATACTCTGTCTAGGCTTCGGCCCCAGCGTTGAGAAGTTACCTGATATTCAATGAATTCAAAGATTTAAAGTACTGTCGCAGACGAGGTGTGGGAATGCGCGGCCCTTGGATTCGCAAAATGCATGTCTCCAGAGCAGGGGAGACGAACATGGTTTCATGGGCTCACTGGAACATGCAGTGTGCAGTATGCAGACGGGCATTGGCTTACGCCACAGTTGTACACAGGGATGGACTTCGTATCATGTATCCAAGATACAAAATAATATAGATCTTAGTACATTTAGTACGCACTACGCACCTGCCCACATAATAACAAACAAACATGTTTCACAGAACAAACCGGTTAAACTTTAAACACCATTGAACTTGCACAATTCGACGAGAGAGTCGTTTATCCCTTGCCGCGATGCCGGATGCATATTGCCTTCCAATGTGCAGCCAGAGCTCCAAAGGTTTGACATACAGGAGAGCGTCAATGAAACAGTTGATCCAGTTCTAGATAGCACTCTACAAGTCCAAAGGTCAACTTGCTGCTTCTCGTGGCAGGTTCTTGGTCGGACTGATGCGTGGCAGTGCTAATCAAGCACCCAGCTCCGTCAAAGCTCTCCGACTATTCACTGATCGCACTGTTCCTAGGGCCTTTCTGCGAAAAGATGTGAAAGCAACAACGGAGGCGGTCACCATGCCAAATTCCGCCCCTACGACGCACTTCTGATCATGTCTGTCAAGAAATCAGCAAACACATTCTTAAAGGATTATAAAACATATTATATAAACCATATTAAGTATGGTTAAGCATGTAGAGTTTGGAATGAATTCCTTTGACAGGTTGAATTGAATGTTGAGTGGGTGCAACCGCGGCCAGCTCCTTTATGGTTTCAACCGTCCTGTTTTGGACATGCTGAAGCATCCACGGGATATTCTGCACCCAAGAAGCCTGACAAGATTGTACTCTACTTGCATGGTGGAGCCTATGTGCTGTGCACTCCTGCATCACTACGTGGGATCACCTTTAGCTTGGCTGCCACTTTGCAGGCTCGATACTTCTAATTTGGTGTAATTGATATGTTTGGGTGTGTTGCCAGTGTCTGGCAGAGTGACATAGAGTGACGAGTGACAAGGGAAATCTTGTTCAGAGCTAGGGCCAGGGTATACAAGGCAGAGACAAGCCAGTAGAAAGAGACCGACGTTTATCTCATTTTGGTTCAACTCAGTCCTCTTCGTCGCATCAATTCTCATCTCCCCTAGGCTGTGGTATTTTTGCGCTCCCCTCTCCTGTTTGTTCACATCTCAACTATTTGTTTGCGCCTTCCTGGTCCTCCTTCCTCCCTCTTGCATGTCAGACCAGCTAGTTCTCTGGTCTTGGTACTTTATGGTGTGATGTGTCTCATGGCGCTGCACATACAACAACCATACAAAAAAAAAGAAAACATACAAAATTAGCACGGTCACAAGTTGCTGTGTGTCACGTTGCTCAGAACATACATGATTGCTCAGACATAGGGCACTACACTGATGCGTCTTGCATATGCACCGTGCACAATCGCAGATTGTGGCTTGCAGCCAAAGGTATGTTCTTCGTGGCCTTGACAACTCGTCCACGATGTGCTAGGCTTCAAATAAAATGTCATGAAGCAAAAATATAGAAAGCTGCAGCAGCACTGTCTCTTGAGCACAGGCACCTTTATGTGTGTTGGAGTACCGGCGTCCACCAGAGCATCCAGTTCCGTGCCCAATGGAGGATGCCATTGCAATGTATCGGCAGTTGTTGCAGACATACCCAAATGCGGAGATTCTGCTAGCTGGAGATTCAGCAGGGGGAGGCATTGCATCGGCTGTGCTTTGCAAGCTTCGAGAAACTGACCTTCCAATGCCCCGGTGTTGCATTTTGATTTCTCCATGGACGGACCTGGGTGAAGATGGGCTACGTTATGCAACCAGAGAAAACGAGGGACTTGACTACCTGCTCCTCGGCATGCTTTGATTTTGCCCTTGAACACAACTATTCTACAAACGAACCCTTGAACGATGCGTGAGCCCCTCAGTCAGCCCTTTGACTATATGCATCCCAGCCTCCCAGCCTTGATCCTTTTTATCGAGCTTCCTATGAATTTTGTTCTGCACCTGTCAGGTGAGGGTCTCACAGGGTCTCTAGATAAAATGTCAGTCTCACGCTGCTCGCTCCTCCTCTTCCTCCTCGCGCTCCACCTTCCTTCTTCCGGCCTTGTCGGCCATGACGATGCTCGTTTTGCAGTAGCCATGATGATGATCTTCTAGCAGCAGGATGTGGCACACTGAATCCGACCACGTGCCAATACATGGCAGATACTATAATATGTCAGACAGTGTATGTATACCAAAGATAGAATCGACCAAGATAATTTGCAAGATAACATGCCAGAAAATGCGTCATGCAATTAGCCAGAAAATAGTGTGCCACAACATGGCCAGATAATATGTTGGAAGGTGTGCCAGACAACGTGCCAAATAATGTCAAAACATGGGCAAGTTATAAAATTTGTCAGGACATATGAATGAACATCCGAAAAACATCTGCGAAGCTGAAGTAGTCACGAAACCTACACAACCGATGGGTTGGCCCGACGCCTTTACCATCCTTTACCCAACCCACACAAAACTTGCACAGCTGATGGGGGCTGACCCATTCTAGGCTACTGTATGTCCTCAGGCTTTGTCCGGCACTCATATGCCAGATCAAATGCCACCGGATTCAATTGCCACAAAATATGTCTGATAGTAGGCCCAACAATGTCGGGGCATATGCCATGCAAGAGGGTACTGTAAATTTAGGATGAAATGCCAGCACGTATGCCAATCTAAAGGTAAGGTAGTATGTCAGGGAAGTGGTCTGGATAATCTCTCAGCACATATGTCCTTCCTTCTTCCAAATCACCTGTCAGGTGGAAAGTAAGTATTTGGAGGCCCATGATTGGACAATTGGGCAAGCTGTACCTAGGCAGAGCGAATTCTCCAAGCGTGCCAAGACATGGAAGTGCTTCATGATGTATAGTAAAAGGATTTCTTTCGCTGCCATGGCGCATCCGAGTCCTCTCCCTAGGTTCAAAAGGGCTGTGTTTGTTGAAGATGAGCTTTTGGTCTTCATATGGAACCTTAAAAGTGATCATTGCCAGCAGGAGAAACCTCCTCCCGCAAGAACAGCATCCACGTAGCTCCTAAGTGCAGCTTGACAAAAGGATTTCGCCTTCAGGTTCTAAGTAGGCGATCTTCAAATTTAGCGTGCCATGCAAGACTTGAACGTCTATTTTGGTTCCTTTCTACGACAAGACAATGAAACATTACACCAGCATAGACCCCAGATAGCAACTATATAACTCCAAAAACCAAGCACCAGCACCGGAAACAACAAATCAAACAGTCACGAAAAAAGGGAGCTTGCAAAGAGGGTCCAACAAAACAACTTTCTGCATGGTTTCACAAATCTGGTCGTTTTCTCAGAAGCGGGGAGACATGCAAAGAAACAAGTGGAAAAACAACAATTGGGGGGGACTGGGGACAAGTTTGGAGACAGGCAGCAGTGGCAAACAAAACACCGACCACACACAGACAAGTAAGGAGAAGCAAAACGCCGATCACACGACAGGCAGATAAGTGGCGAGACAGGGCAGACGCATCAGCGGTATACCAAAACGCCGATCATGCACCCAGTCATTGAGAAGAAAGAACCCCTGTAGTTTTCAGCTATTTGGGGAACAAACCACATGATGGTTTGAGACAAAAGGTTTTAATAAGTGGTGCTGGCAAGCCACAAAATCAAGAAACGAACATTGTGTCAGAAA